GTTTAAGAAAACATGTTATGACCATAAAAAATGAACAGATTTCTGTTCTTTAAAGGAGGCCTTCCGTGGTCAAGTTCAAAGGCAGGTGGAACGTTTATTCCACCCAGGGTGACCACTACACATGTTTATCACTGCAGTGATTTCTTTACCTTCTTATAAGGATTTATTATGAGGAAATTCACAGGTTCTTCTGTTTAAGGAAACAAACAACCACTCTGTATAAATACGATATCACAGAAATAAGACAGACTTTAGTCAGTGAATTCAAGTTAATCTGGCAATAAACAAAATCATTTAATCAAAATAAATCACGAATGTACAGCTTGTTGTGGATAATCAAATTTTGTYAAGAGTTTTAACATCAACAACAATCAGTACGTGTCCACACTAATTAATCGTCAATATGACAGCTTCAACAGAAACAGCAAAACTTCAGGTTTTAGGTCTTAATAAACCAGATGTTTGCAGGTACATTAAACTTAGATGACAATGCAGATAGTTTAAGAGATAGAAAGAAAGGAGGATGTTAGCCCTAACGTTTTGTCTTATCAAGATGTGAGAAAACCAGAACGAGCACTTGCGTCTCTGGGTCGCTTCAGCCGGACACCGGTACGCTGATCTAAACCTTCAGCTTCTACCTGGAGGTGTCTTGACCATCAGGGTCAAGTGTTTGGAAAGTTTCACCCAGGTCAGCAAGAGATTCTGCTCAGGTTAGCTTTACTTCCAGTAAAATCTTCCAGTGTTTTGATTTTCAGCATCTCCAGAAATCTGCCTCAGGTCCGATGAGAGAGTCAAAGCCAATTGGTCCTCTTTTCAAAATGAAAGACTTCTCAACAAACTTTTTAAAAATTTATGGAGCTTTAAAGCTCGGTGTTTTGGTCACGATTAATGGTACGGTGAACCTGTGGCAAAAGATTTGTTCATTAGCACTTGAGGTTAAATCTCATTGCCGAACGCTGATTTTCCTAAGGAGGAAAAAACAGCTTCTCTTCATTGGATGAAGATGGTGTCTGAATGTCAGGCTACTCGTCCCGGGGTTAGTTTCCACAAGCGAAAAACACTAAGGACGTGCYCTCGACTTTTGGGTTAGTCAACAGGTGGATCAGAAGTTTAGTCTGAGAACTTGCCATTACCATCGGTCTGGTAGACAAAATGGTGAATGTCTGCACATTAACACAAAGAACCAATGTCAGGCCATGCTGTTCTCAGTTCTTTGGCAGGACAAATACTAAATGACAAGGAACCAGGTTTTAATGAAATAGAAGTGAATTATTTAAACTAAAATAAAACAAGATATTCAAGCACAAATAGTGAACTAAATCAAAGTGATCAATTTAGCTAAAGAAGAAATAAAACAGAAAAACACATAATCACATAACTGTTGAGTAGCAGTT